TGTCGACAGAATTGGCTGCAGTCTAGACGCTCTTTGTCGACAGAAGCTTTGTTGACAATATCTGTTGACAAAGCCTCTGTTGACAAAAGCCTGTCGTCTAGACGTACCCAAGGAGTCATTCTTCTGCTCTGCTCTGCGCTGATTAAGCCTCAGTCAGAGGATTGTGTCCAGTTCTGGGCACCAGATTTCAGGAACGATGTGGAGAAATTGGAGAGGATCCAGAGAAGGGAAACAGAAATGATGAAAGGTCTGGAGAACATGAGCTATGAGGGAAAACCGAAAGAATTGGGCGTGTTTAGTTTGGAAAGGAGAAGACTGAGGGGACATGAGAGCGGTTTTCAAGTATCTAAAAGGGTGTCACAGGGAGGAGGAAGAAAAATAGTTCCCCTTGGCCTCTGAGGATAGAACAAGAAGCAATGGGCTTAAACTGCAGCCAGGGAGGTTTAGGTTGGACATTAGGAAAAACTTCCTGCCTGTCAGGGGGGTCAAACACTGGAATGAATTGCCCAGGGGGGTTGTGGAATCTCCATCCCTGGAGCTATTTAAGAGCAGGTCGGACAGACCCTGTCAGGGGTGGGCTAATCGGTGCTGGCTCCTGCCGTGAGGGCCGGGGACGGGACTCGGCCTCACAAGCTCCCTGCCAGTCCTCGTGTTCCATGATTCTCTGAACTGCAGAACTCTCTAGTCCCACACTCCTAGGGCTGTCCCAGCAAGTGGTTAAATGTGCCGTATCGTGGACAGGTTCCCTAGGCCGAGACATAAGCTCCCTTCATGCCCAGCCTGACTCAGACGGAGCCAAGAGCTCCAGTGTTTAAGGACTAGCTCAGTAACCGCCTTGCCCTGCCGCTGCCAGTGAAAGCAGCAAGGCCCATGTGAGCACAGGGCCACCTCTTTGGGGTCTGGCCAGGGATGTTTTGAATCGGTCACATTTGCTCCCAGCAGGGCCGGGGACCAGCAGCTGCCTCACAGGGAAACCAGAGCTGAGGATCGTCCTCGTGGGTAAGACGGGAGGCGGGAAAAGTGCCACAGGAAACACCCTCCTGGGCGAGGAGACGTTTCCGTCTGTACTCCAGGCGACACCTGTCACGCAGAGCTGCAGCCGAGGCAGCAGGACCTGGCGAGGAAGGAAGGTTTTGGTTATCGACACCCCTGCTATTTTTGACACCCATGTCTCTGATGATCGAGTCACCCGGGAGATGCGTCGCTGTAGGGAGCTCTCCGCCCCAGGCGCCCACGCGCTGGTGCTGGTGACCCAGCTGGGCCGCTACACGGCGGAAGACCAGCACGCAGTGAGGAGAGTGCAAGAGCTGTTTGGCTGGGAGGCCATGAAGTACACGATGGTCGTATTCACCCGCAGGGAAGACCTGCGCCGCGGGACGCTGGAGGAGTATCTCTCCCACCGGGACAACGAGCAGCTTCTGCACCTAATCCGAGAGTGCGGCGGCGGGTGCGGCCGGGGTCCAAAAAAAACGCTCGGCCGCTACTGCGCGTTCAACAACAAGGCTCCAAAGGAGGCTCGGGCTGCCCAGGCGGAGGAGCTGCTGGGTAAGATCGCCGAGATGGAGCGGGAGAACAAAGACCGACCGTTCTACGTGAATGAGATGTCTGAGAAGGCCGAGAAGCTTCTGAAAGCAAAGGCCGCGGGCTGCGAGAGAGATGGAAGCACACGAAGAGGAGGGGAGGCCGAGCAGAGAGAGCTGATGGAAACCCAGAAGGCCTATGAGAGAAAACAGAAATCCAGGGGTGATAAAAGGAGTGCTGGAGACTGGTGTTTATCATGGCCAGGCATCTCAGTGCCAAGTTTGTCAGCGCCAGGCATCTCACTGACAAGGTTTTTGGAGGGCCGGAAGTGACAGCAACTGAGCTGCACCTACTGCCTCGCTTGACTTTGTGGGGTCTCCGAATTCAAAGCTGGAGGGAAAAGAACTTTTAACTCTTCTGAGACACAAATTTCCAGGCGCCAAAGGGCCCGTCTACACGGCATTTTGGAGCAAGTCTCTCCGGCCAGGTCAATGGACGCCGACCCCCAACCTCCTTAGGCTTCCGAGCCCGAGTGTCATTGTGAGTGGCAGCTTCCAAGCACTGTGTGTACCACTGTTTTCGGAGCACTCGCGTGAGCTCTGCAAGCCTGGGTGAGATGCTCGCTTCAGCGCCCGTGCAGCCACGTGCCATGCGACCGGTCCCACGTGGCGCCTGTCCTGGGAGACGCTGGAGGATTGTCCCGCACAACGCGTGCCCCAAGCTCCCGTTCCATCCAGCCCTAAGCAAGTCACTGACGGACGTCACCCGTTTGCTGACGGAAGCCCTATTGTCTGTTAGGAAAATGGCTGGTCCCCGAACTGTTCTTTCCCTCAGCTTCATCCAGTTCTAGCTACGTATAAATCTTTGGCCCGTCCTTGTCCATTCAGTTCCTCCGAAAGCCCAACTGGGTTTTACCGCTCTTTTCTAGCCTCCTACAGTCTACCCTTTGTGGTAGTGCAAAGCCAAGATCTCAAAGCACCATCCTGCGAGTGAACCCACCTAGGGTCCTAGCCAACCACCCACCTGCCCACTCCGCACATGGTGCCTCTGGAGCCCACAGGCATGCTGGCTCTTTCTGACACCTCACCCAGCAAACTCAGGTAACATGTTTCCCTCACATCACATGACCTCTAAAGAGTCATTAAAGCAATTTCACTATTTCCTGTCCCTAAGAATTCCTAAATCCTGCATCTCAGCTGCGTGTCTGCCCACACCGTATATCCGTGAAGAATATTTATACAACGAAGAAGTGGAACTACTAATTAGCATGTGTCCTCTACTAGTGCTGGGTACCATGAAATCTGTACCCCAAGCCACTTTATTAGCAAAATGTACCTTAGGAGAGTGCTTTAATATAAAACTCTGAAAATTAAACATTGTTGAAATCTATTCCATATTCGAGTGGGAAAATGAAACCGAGCAGTAATCTAAGGTTAGGCTGGATGAAGCATTAGATAGTTGTAGTGAAAAAGGATATGAAGGAACCCTATTCATGCAATTTTTACTTCTTGGTTGAGTGAGACTTTTTTTTAGGTTGCCGAAGCTTGTAAAAGACTAGGGAAGAGACATGCTCTTTACAGTGAGACCCTAATGATCTTTTTCTTCGTTCTTCTGAAATATTAGAAAAGTGCTAGTTTTTCGGTTACAAAAATTAGAATTGTACATGCACAATGAGGTATGCATTCTGCTTTCTCTAACTGGTACTGAACTAGCTTGTCTTTAAAAATGTTGCTCACATTTTGCACTGGTATTTTAGTGAGTTACAATCAAATATTTCCATCTCTAGTTTATAACTATTAAAAACGAGGATTCTGTTTGTGTTTTGTTCTTTTAGGGTGACAATCGCCTTGGTGCAGAGAGTCAGCACAAGGCCTGGGCATGACTTTGTATCCACTTAAGTCTGTAAAACATGGTTTTACATGGGATTTCAATGATGGTGTTTTGTGCAGCTGCTCTGTATAGGGTATGTCTACACTAGCGGACAAAGTTGAAGTAAGATATGTAACTTCAGCTACATTAATTGCACAGCAGAAGTCGAAGTATCTTACCTCGACTTTTGGTGCTGTCTTCACGGCAGGGAGTCAAAGGGAGAACACTCTTCCTTGGACTGCCCTTACTCCTCGTAAGTTTTCCGTTAAAAGCATTTTCAGAAAAGCGCGTCTAGATTGGCAGGATGCTTTCCCGCAAAAGCACTTTTTGCGGAAAAGCGTTCATGGCCAATTTAGACGCGGTTTTCCGCAAAAAAGCCCCGATCGCCATTTCGGCGATCGGGGCTTTTTTGCAGAAAACACTACTATGCTGTCTACACTGGTCCTTTTGGGCAAAAGTCTTTTGGAAAAAGACTTTTGCCCAAACGGGAGCAGCATAGTATTTCCGGAAAAGCACTGATGATCTTACATGGGATCGTCAGTGCTTTTCCGGAAATTCAAGCAGCCAGTGTAGACAGCTGGCAAGTTTTTCCAGAAAAGCAGATGATTTTGCAGAAAAACTTGCCAGGCTAGACACAGCCCACATGTGTTCGGAAAACCCTAAGATGAAACTGAGCACTGCACATCAGACTATAAGAACGGCCACACGGGGCCAGAGCAAGGGTGCCTCAAGCCCCAAAGCCTGCCTCGGACTGGCCCGTGCCAGCTGCTTCAGAGGGACTGAGCAAGCCAGCTTCCTAACATCTCCGGGCAGCCGGGCACTGTTAACAAACCCAGCGTGGCCAAAGGCAAGCTCTTCCTCTTCCCTCACTGCTAGCAGGCGAACAATATTTGGGTCTAGAACTGCAGAGACTACAAGTCTAACAGTGGGAACCAGACGGGTGCTACATTATTCTTCCCCCATTGTCTTTTTCCTGGTATATTCCTGATCTCGTACGTACGTCCCCAGCCAGCTGGGAATGAACCAGCTGCTCCCCACTCCAGCCCCATCGCTACTGCAGCCACGAGAAAGGGGACGATGCGCTTGGACTAAGCTCCTCCTGATGCATTGATCAGACAGCGGCGTTCCCCAGCTCCCATGTCGCCACGGGCCTCAGCATAACCCCTCTGGCATTTTGCAACCCCCTTGCCCAATGCAGCTTGTTCCCCTCTCCCTCTTCCCCCCACTCTGCCAGGAGAGAGCCCTGTCTCTCTCCCCCACAACGGCTTTCCGAAAGCCCAATCACAGTCTATCAACTGCATCGCCCTTGCCAAGCGCTTGCTGACATGGAGAAGGAATTCTAAGGGACTGGCGAGGCACGATTCCCCTTCCCACCAAACCGGGCTGCTCTTTGGGTCTGGCAATCGCTCTTTGCCAGAGTTTCAATCTCTTCGCCCAGGCCTGATGTTAGATTTGCCGGCCTGTCACTGCCAGGGTCACCTCTGGGGCCTTTTCAAAGATCAGCTTCAGATCAGCTGCCCTCCTGTCGTCTGGGGCAGAGGCCGATTTCAGCGAGAGGCCACGTGCACACGCAGGTGCTCTGCAGACTCCGGCATGCGTTCTTTCAGCGCGCCGGGGAGATACGCCAGCCCACGGGGACGCAGCCCTGCTCAGAGGATCAGGCTGGTTGCACCGGGGAGATACGCCAGCCCACGGGGACGCAGCCCTGCTCAGAGGATCAGGCTGGTTGCACCGGGGAGATACGCCAGCCCACGGGGACGCAGCCCTGCTCAGAGGATCAGGCTGGTTGCACCGGGGAGATACGCCAGCCCACGGGGACGCAGCCCTGCTCAGAGGATCAGGCTGGTTGCACCGGGGAGATACGCCAGCCCACGGGGACGCAGCCCTGCTCAGAGGATCAGGCTGGTTGCACCGGGGAGATACGCCAGCCCACGGGGACGCAGCCCTGCTCAGAGGATCAGGCTGGTTGCACCGGGGAGATACGCCAGCCCACGGGGACGCAGCCCTGCTCAGAGGATCAGGCTGGTTGCACCGGGGAGATACGCCAGCCCACGGGGACGCAGCCCTGCTCAGAGGATCAGGCTGGTTGCACCGGGGAGATACGCCAGCCCACGGGGACGCAGCCCTGCTCAGAGGATCAGGCTGGTTGCACCGGGGAGATACGCCAGCCCACGGGGACGCAGCCCTGCTCAGAGGATCAGGCTGGTTGCACCGGGGAGATACGCCAGCCCATGGGGACGCAGCCCTGCTCAGAGGATCAGGCTGGTTGCACCGGGGAGATACGCCAGCCCATGGGGACGCAGCCCTGCTCAGAGGATCAGGCTGGTTGCACCGGGGAGATACGCCAGCCCACGGGGACGCAGCCCTGCTCAGAGGATCAGGCTGGTTGCACCGGGGAGATACGCCAGCCCACGGGGACGCAGCCCTGCTCAGAGGATCAGGCTGGTTGCACCGGGGAGATACGCCAGCCCACGGGGACGCAGCCCTGCTCAGAGGATCAGGCTGGTTGCACCGGGGAGATACGCCAGCCCACGGGGACGCAGCCCTGCTCAGAGGATCAGGCTGGTTGCACCGGGGAGATACGCCAGCCCATGGGGACGCAGCCCTGCTCAGAGGATCAGGCTGGTTGCACCGGGGAGATACGCCAGCCCACGGGGACGCAGCCCTGCTCAGAGGATCAGGCTGGTTGCACCGGGGAGATACGCCAGCCCACGGGGACGCAGCCCTGCTCAGAGGATCAGGCTGGTTGCACCGGGGAGATACGCCAGCCCACGGGGACGCAGCCCTGCTCAGAGGATCAGGCTGGTTGCACCGGGGAGATACGCCAGCCCACGGGGACGCAGCCCTGCTCAGAGGATCAGGCTGGTTGCACCGGGGAGATACGCCAGCCCATGGGGACGCAGCCCTGCTCAGAGGATCAGGCTGGTTGCACCGGGGAGATACGCCAGCCCACGGGGACGCAGCCCTGCTCAGAGGATCAGGCTGGTTGCACCGGGGAGATACGCCAGCCCACGGGCTGACTCCCGAAGCAACATGCCACAGGCTCCTGGCACAGCTGCAGAGGGGGAAAGGAGCACCCTGCCCATGGGCAGCTGGGGCAGCTAGGGCCGGGGGAGGCAGGACCCCAGCCCCACCCGCAGCCCCACCCCCTCTGCAGAGTCCCCACCTCCCACAGGGAGGGGAGAAGGTGGGGCAGTGTGCCGAGCGTGCCCACCTCCCGGGGGGGAGGAGGCGGGACAGTGCACTGAGCATGCCCCAGCCTCCCCGGAGCACCAGGGAGGGGAAGAGAGGTGAGGGGTCAGCTCCCCTGGTCCCCTGGGTCAGCAGGGACAGCAAAGAAGTGACCCGTGGCGCTCCCCCTCACCCAGCAGCAGCTCAGCGGCGCCCACCGGCACGCAGCGGGGGTACAGTCCCTGTGTGCTCCCAGGGGACTTAGGTCCCTAGATAGAAACCTACAGCAGCCCGGCAGGAGCAGAGAGACCCTGCGTCCCCCTGCAAGGGGCTGATCTGCCGACTCGGGGGGGAGGGTTTCGGTCAAACTGTGCCACTGGAGAAGTTGTGGCAGTCGCAGGGTTTCAAATGGAGGCATGAAAGGAGACGAGTTTGAACGTGGTATCGGTGAGCGTGGCCTGCAGTTACCTCCAGGGGTCCTCTGTCCGATGTGGGTCCTTGGGCGGGGCGGCAGGGGCGGCCGG